CCACCCCTAAATTGTTCTCTCTCATTCAAATACTCACACTAGTGTCATATCATATACAAATGTTATATTTAATCTTCAGATCAGAGGTCTGGCAGACTTTCGTTTTGACGTCAGAGTCGAGTACTGCTTTGTAGAGGGAATGCAAAACTGTTATTTATTTATTTTTAGCTTGCTCTGAACAGCAACCCTATGCTGCATTTTATAATCCTAACAACAACCCAATGCCTATAATTTTATGCTGAATTCCAGTAAGGAGCCTCAAATTTGGCATTGGGTTCCTAAGTCCATTCGGGCTCTCTGAACCTTCCTCCTTCTCTCCACCGTTCCCCAGCATTTGATTGCACACCTGTAAATCTTTAAATCATCAGGATAGTTATTAAATGAAGCTTTTTGTGCCTCATCATTTCTGATGCGCTTCTTGATTAGTTTGCTGCTCATCGCTCAGCTTATTGTATTTTAATATAATTTCTGTCATTGTTGGTTTGACTACATTTTAAATTTGGGTAGGTGGAGATCTAAGTGGAAGTGGTGACTCACCACGAACTAGTGCACCACTTTGCTGCTCAGTCATTTGGAGCAGGGAGGATTGTATGTGTAGCACTCCTGCAAAACATGTGTGCGTTTCTCAGGCTACCTTGCTTTCAACCATTCAAAGAAAACAAAATAAAGTAATTTAGGAATGCATATATGAATATATAAACAAGCGCATGCATAAATAAAATCATGTGCAGTATGCAAGTATAGGCACAGCTCTTTTAACTGACTTTTCAGAATCTCCCTTAGATGAGCTGGAGGTGCTGAAAACTGAGGCCACTCATTTAGGTGTTTAAGTTTTGTAGTCTTTTTTTTTTTTAAATCTTGCCTGTGTGGTATGAAGAGAAAGGAGGTTTAGAACAGTTGCTTCTCACTGATCCTTCATGATCCTCAGTAAATGGCAATTAACTTCTAATTTTCAGGCAGTTTCATGTGGGGTAGTTGTTGTTTTAATCACTTGACTTCCATCAGGGCTAATGGGAAATGAGAGGATTAAAACCTCCCAATATTTTAGAAAATCAAAGGATGAGTCAGGTGCTACGTTTTGTGAGTCTTCCATGCTGCAAGTAAACCATGGGGCTGCAGTCTCTCCATCTCTGCTTAGTCACTTAGCTACAAATGCTATGAATGTTTGGTTCATAACCTGTCCTTCATCTTTTAAGGTAACATTGGAAGAACGGATTAGCTTGAGGTCTGTCATACGGTCCTCAGGGTCCATTTTTCTTTGAAGGTGTCTTCTCCCATTGGCCTCCATGACCCGTTTTTAGTGGCTTCTACCCAGAAACATATAACATGCCACTTCCTGGCAGAGGTTTTTGAGCTCACCTCTGATCTGTGCAGTGCTATTACAGCAGCAGTCTTATAATCAATGTAATTGAAGATCAGAGCTAATGAGGACCTCTGCGTCAGCAAATCCCCCATGCAATGCTGGGCTTCAGATGTTAGATAAGGAAATGATTGGGCTGAACTGAAAATCTATTTGGCTAATTAGATGATGCATATTCCATCCAGGCAGTGGGGGGAAAAAGACATTTAAAAAATAAAGAAATCTCAGATTTCTTGAGAGAGGTTTTGGCAGGAAATCACTTCGACATCTCAGGAGGAAGAGAGAGAAAGTGAAGTTTCTTTGAATCTAGATTTCTCCTATGGGGATGTGTTTTATTGGGCCAGTGGATTTACCTTGACCAAGGAGAAGGGTGCATGCAACTGCTACTGCTACAAGGTCCATGTCACCCTAATTTAAGTGCTCACACATACCACTCATTTTACAGGCATGCAGTGGGTGAAGCATGGTGGATAGTTTGTCCATTCTCAGCCAAAGCCAGGAATTCTTTTGCTCACCTGACACGTTGCATGCAGTCTCACTAGGGCAAGTATTTCCCTCCAGCAAGTAGCATGGAAGGGAATATAAAGTAGGATTGGAAAGTATTCCTGGCCAGAATATTTTTGGAAAACCCAGGGGAGATAACATGGGTCATTTTTGGTGTTGACATAAAAGGAGCTGTTCCAACACAGTTGCATTTGCCATAATATACAGGACGTTTGCAAGAGTTTCCCTTGGCAAAAGAGTGCCTTGTCTAAGTGATTGGTTTAAACTGCACACTGGTCTCATGATGCTTTGTCCATGCTCATCTTTCAGGACTTCCTCTGAGGAGTGTCATCCTCTTCCATTTGGAGATCCCCCCCCGCCCAGGCCTTGGCTTGAAATGCATGAAGTCCGCATAACCTCTGACTAAACAAGTTTTTCCATTTGATTTTTGTTTTGTTTTTCTTAACCCCAGGAAGCAGTTTTGTCGTGAGTGAGGGAAGCTACTTGGACATCTCCGATTGGTTAAATCCAGCCAAGCTGTCCCTTTACTATCAGATTAATGCCACGTCACCTTGGGTGAGAGATCTCTGTGGACAGAGGACTACAGATGCCTGTGAGCAGCTCTGTGATCAAGAGACTGGTGAGTGAATGCTTGGGAAGGGTGGTCTTCATGTGAGATCTGACAAATGAAGGAGGTTTCTCTACACAATGTGGAGCATGCTCTGCTTGCCTACACTTTAGCCTGGTGTTAAAGGGCTCTGTGCCAGTGGTTATGCTGACCTTTATAAGCCATAATGATGTACCAGCTCATCAGTTTGGCATTACTCTTAAAGAGTGATATAATCTAGCAAGGATCTCTCTTGCATCTCTCTACTTCCATGCTAGGGATGGGGACAGTAGGTTTCCTAACCTAGAAATGGTCCACTTTATCATTTGCATTGCAGTGCCGCCTAGGAGTCATAGTCCAGGGTTAGTTCCCTATTGCAGCGGGCAACTCCACTTGCTGTCCTGGTTAGCACCTGAGAAAAGAGTCATGCTGCTCTTGAATTGTCCAGCACCTGAATAGACTTCTGCATCAGACTGTCCCTGCATCCTGCTGTTGGGGTGTGGGTTGCAGCCCCGCTTGGATTGGAAGTGCTGAGCAAGTGACAAGCTTTCAGAATCATACTCTGTCCCCTCAAATTGCTCCAAGGTACAGTGAAAAATTGGTCCCAAAGCCTGGCATTAGCCATACATTTAAAAGAAAATTCTGCAACCAGCGGATAAAGGAAAAGAGGTGAGGAACGGGGGGAAATGTCATAAAAAACCCTGGAGCCAATAAATCCCTAGCCCTGGCCAACTGAAAACTCCTTATCAGGTCACTTTTCCTTGACACCTCCTTTGCTAGCAGAGATAATGAGGGAGCAGGGCCCTGCATGTGAAGATGACTTTGTGGCTGTGATTGTTTTTCATAATGAGGGGGCCTGTGGTGTCCTCCACAGGGTTCAGAGAGAGCTGCTGTCTCTCCCTGGGGTGCCTTCTTGGCTCCTGTGGGAGCAAGTAGCCTTGGTGCTGGTAGTTTCCTGCTTGAACTGCATCTAAAGATCATGCAAATGACCTTGACTCCTAGCAGGGAAATAACTTGCATATGTTAACCCTTGGCTCTCCAGACAAGAAGCTTCACACCATCTCTGTCCTGCTCCTGCTCTCCTTTGCAGTGAGGGAACTCATTTGGTACATGTAAATGTGAAAATTTGCAGCCACTTCAAAGGCATTTCTTTTCTCATTTCTGCTGGTAGAACCAAGGGAGAGAGACCTGATGGATTTTGAAAGCCTTGCTGAAGCTCCACCCAGTCCTATAATTGCAACCCACAAGGAGGAAAGAAATTTTAAACTATTAGCACCTATATTAAGTCTCTAAAGGTTTTCCCTGTGACTCAGCGTCAGAGATTCCCCAAAGCAAGGGTTGGTTAGTTTGTTTTCCCTTTCTGAACAGGGCTGTGTGTGTCTGTCTGTCAGGGCTGGTGCGATTTCTAATCTTCCCGTCACCCCAGCCTGACCATGATAAAAGGCAGTCTCATCACGGGGTAAGGCAGAGGGGCTGCATGTGGTTAGTGCTGATTTTTGCTGCAGCTGTTTAAGGGGTGTATTGTATCTGGAGACATCATAATTTGCATTAGCTGTCAAATAGCTTTTAATTTAGGGCACTTCCCAGTGCTCTGCTGCTGCAGAGTGTCCATTGAGTTCTTGCTGCTTCTTTGGTACCCCCGTAGTGAAGTGTCTGGGGTTCAGGAACAGCTTCATCCTGTATTCAGAGAAGCAGCTCTGCTCATTCATTGGGGTACAGAATTGGAGTGGAGCTATTTTGTGTTGATTTGCTTTCCTCCTTTCTCAAGGAGTTGCTGCCCCGCATGGTTCTGGGGTTATGGTGGCAGTGGAAATGCTGATGCCACACTTGTTTGAATAGATACATTGCTGTGTTTGGGACTGTGTTCATTTGGAAGTACCCTTTCTCAGGGATTCACAGATTCATAGAAGTTTAGGGCTGGAAGAGACCTCATGAAATCATCGGGTCCAGCCCCCCTGCTCCGGGGGTGAGATAACCTCAGCAAGGCGTCTGCATGGAGAAATTGGAATAATTTATTCTGGTCATTTTCCTTGGGTAGACAAGTGCTCAGTATCACTCAGATTTCCGGGGAGAAGGGAGTGAACAGCTACCTCTTCCACCCCCTGGGACTCCCCCCACCACCAAAATGTGGAGATAGTAAAAGGACAGATATGTAACAAACTGATATGTAATTGTTTTCTCCAAATACCCCAGTCCCCTCCGTACATTACTGTACATGGAGATCAGTACAGCAAGCAGCACAGCACAGCACAGCCAGGTTTGGAGAGGCAATGGGAAGGCAACTCCATGGGAATACCCTGCTGACACTGCCGTGGCTGTTCAGAGGAGAAAGTAAAGACCCTGGCATTCTGCTGAGACTTCAGGAAGAGCCTCTGGAGGCAGAATGTGATTTCCCTGTCAGAAGGAGCCCTGAAGCTCCATTTGCAAGCTCCATGCTGTCCTTGGCATCGAAAGGGCTAGTTTAATTCTTGAGCAGTCTTTGCTGCGAGGGACTGCTATGTGCTGCATCTGTCCAGCTGCTGCATCCCACATTTCTCTGGCTTGTTGGAGCAGCTGCTTCCCCTTGCTGGATGCCCCATGCTTTAACAGAATGCGACAAAACTTAATTACAGGGAATGGAGCCGTGCCCGCTCTGTACGTGCGGTGCGTGCTATCTCAGGGGAGCTTTGCTCCACTGCCATGCTGTATTCCCCCTTTACCAGCTGCCTCTCAATCCTTTGCTAAGGATGTCACTCACACACCATCCAAAATGGACAGGGTGGTAGACATCCATGGTGGGGGCTGGGGAGTGGGGGACATCAATTGGGCCCATTGATCCAAGGATCTTCTATGCTGTACCTTGCTGTTTTACTGATCTGGAGAGCAAAGAATGTAGAAATAAATCCATCAGAGAGCCCTGAAAGAGGCTTTTCCTAGACATGATCTGTAGGAATGGATCAGCTCAGCCCTTGCCCGTACTGTCAAGCTGAATCGTGGGACGCTTGTGAAAACATGGGAGCGGTTCGACCAGAAAGAGTGAGGGAACAGACCTGGCGTGCAATGTGTGAGCACCTGGACCTGCTACGGAGATGAGTGCTATTCTTAAACCTCCCATGCTGTTCTTGCCTCGCCCCACTATGCTTACATATTGCAGCACATATGCTCTCTCCCCAGGGCCCTGGAATGAGCTGAGTTTCAGTGCTGCATCCTGCAGGCAGAGTGAAGTGAGCTAAGTGTAGAGCTGCCTTGATCTGGGCCCTGCTGTTGTAAACCTCAAGTTTTTTTAAATCAAGCTTTTCTCTCCCATTTTTTTTCACAGCCAGGGGAGATGAGAGGTGGTAGTGCAAATTCTGTCTCCTGTCTACGCCAGTTAGAGAATTGGGGTTTGAGTTGGGGCTGTTTTGGAAAGATGCTGGTTGAGAATTTGAAACTTGGCTGGTGATTTTGAGAGTGGCTTTGAGGCATCTTAGCAGGATGTCTGAGCTTAGCACTCTTCTGAAAGTTAGGATATTGCCCACTCCATCCCCTTCCCCTTTAAGGTCTCAGGTTGGGCCACCCAGAACTCGAGCACCTATTACTTCTATCAGTCTTGCACAATATTGCTGTTACAGGGCTGTTCAGCCAGAAGGTCCATGCTTGAGGAAGGGTTTCAGGACCAGCAGATGGAAGAAGACCTAGTTTTTATGCTGTTGTGCCCTGTTCTGTCCTCCTCTCCCTCCCAGCCACCACCCCCTTTAGCTGGCATTTTATTACTGCAAGACAGTCCTGGTGTTTTACTGTGAAATATATATCTTGCCTGGATTTCAACCTTTTGGGGTCAGGGATTTTATAAACTGCTTGGATCCTAAGTGATGGCTTGCTTGCAGGAGGCCTCTTCCCTCCTGTCCTCTTCAAACCATAGGGGGAATTGATGTGAGACAGGGCTCTATTGTAGCAAATGGGGGTTAGATGTAAGGGAAGGAGGGAGTGTGACCCACACTGCATGAGGGAGCCTCATGTCCAGTGATACCACTTTGCCTTTCTGCAGCAACTCTTTTCTGAAGGTCACAAAGTGCTTTGCAGGCATCTGTTAAGACTCTTTCTTGTGTGGGAGATGGGTGCTGTCATCTCCGCTTCACAGATGGGGAAACTGAGGCAGTGAAGAGAGGTTAGTTTGGCCCAAGGAGCCACAATAACACAGTAGAAGAACTGAGACTGAACTCTTCCCTTGCTACTGTCCAAGGAAGCCCTAACCTGGAATAGAAGAGCAGGATCACAGTTTTTGCCCCATCCCATGGTTTCTGGTCATATTCAGAGACACAATCCAGGTTCTTCTTTCCCGAAGACAGAGGCTTCTTCTACAGGAGAGAAGGGGGACTCTTTCCTGTAGCTGTGGCAGCACTAAGGGACACACGTACACGAGCAGCTCTGTCAGTCCATCTTGCAGAGGACAGCAGTGTATCTGCTGATGCATTTCAAGTCCCAGTAGCCTTTGGGGTTAGGGGCCAGCATTTTGCCCAAGGAACAGCATATCAGAGTCTGGATCCATGACTGGGACTGGGTTAAGTTCTGCAGCAGTACATATCATGAAGTGCAAAGAACAAACAGTATTCTTCCGGTTGCAAAGTTAAGCACTGAAACTTTAGGAAATGCCAGCATTAGTTTGCTTGTGCCACCTTGATTCAGCCCTCCTATGCATTATGCTGCAGTATTAAATTACATTATCATATCCACCAGATCTGGTTTTTATTCTCTCTTCCCACACTGGCTGCTAATTGTTGGGTCTGTCTGCAGGTTTCTCATTAATCCCATTCCCTCCCCAACTCCTTGCAGATTTTTGCCTGGCAAGTCACTTCACTTGAGCTTATCAGCCCTGTCTCTCCTGCTTTCTCTTCCCATTCTCCAGCCTTCCAGTCTGTTCCAGCAACAACCAGTCCATTTCCCTCCCCCTTGCAATCCCAGTCTCCCTGTCTCAGGTTATGTCTTTCCCTCCTCCCTGGCTTGGTTTTAGTAACTTCTGCATGGGAAACAGGCAGCTTTCTCCCCCATGCTGCTGGGGACAGAGTAGAGAGGTC